AGAGACAATGGGACAGAATATATAAATTTAGGAATGTCCCAGAGAATCAGTAGTGTACCAAAAGAGGGATACTAGCCCTTCAAATAATTCTCTGCAGTAAGAAAGACTGCTTTGCTTACTTCTACGTTGCACTTTCTTAATGATTTGTTTTCCTAGTAATTGCTGTTTATCTTTGAATCTAGTTCTTTACCCTTAGGAAGAAACCTTTCTGAGGAAATTAAAAACTATTAGATTGGCATTTAAAATAACAAATTTGACAAGATGTCTAAGTTAAACCTAGGTTAAACAATATCCAGATAAGGCTATGAAGACTATAATATCTGGCATGTTCCTCATGGAGCAGTGAAATTCCATGCCAAAGCCACTTATGTTACTATACTGTGGGTCAAAACATGTCTACAGATTTTAAGGGACCATGTTTCCTTACATAGAACTTTCCTGGAGTAGCACTGGATACTTAGTTGGTGCCTAGCAAATGTGATGATTAAAGAATATAATGCACCACAGATATTATCCTGCCTGATCACCATTTCTTGGCTAAAATGTTGTGGTGGAATTCTGGTAGCTGTTAATTCTTTCTCATTCAGGAGATAGCAGGCAAAACTGGGTGGGCCCTGGGAGGGAGTGTAGCTGGGCTCTTTAACTTCTAAGAATATAGGATGTGTGTTTGTGAAAGTAAACTCAGCTTCTAATGGTAAAAAATATATATCAATTAGGATCAACTAAATGAATAGCATACAATTTTTCTTCTCTTGAGGTGTGTAACTTTTTTGGATTGTGTCTGCTACCCTTTTCTTGGTAAGGTCTGCACAATTCTTTCAGCTCACTTTGTCAGCAGACTTCCCACTAGGTAGTGGATATACCCCAAATTATTCGTTTGGTAGAGCTTTTCTTTACCATTCTCAGTATCAAATGGAAGAAAGTCAACCATTGTACCTGCTAAGCTATTTGAAGAGGTGCTTTAAATAGCATGTTAAACTGGCCTGATATTTAATTGGGTTTTTAAGACGCAGCAAGTAGACTTCTGTATTTGGGTGTGCTATTTGAAGAATGGGTCAATCTGACCTTCTAGCCTTTCATAAATATGCTCTTAGTGTAAGAATGGAACACTGGTGTGCTTGTTCAGTTGTGGGTAAGGCTGTTTATGAGGTGGTGAGTACTCAAGCATAACATCGTTCTTTAACATAAGACTTTTTACTTAAAGATACTTTCTGCGTTTCAACCACTGTATTTCCTTTCCATTCCTTCTCTTCCCAATCCTACTTTTTTTTTAGGTGTAGTATTCCTTGTAGATGGTAGATTTGAAGAAAGATGAAAGCACAGCAATTAAGATTTAATGTTTGGGGCCGGGCGTGGTGGCTCAAGCCTGTAATCCCAGCACTTTGGGAGGCCGAGACGGGCGGATCACGAGGTCAGGAGATCGAGACCATCCTGGCTAACACAGTGAAACCCCGTCTCTACTAAAAAATACAAAAAACTAGCCGGGCGAGGTGGCGGGCGCCTGTAGTCCCAGCTACTCGGGAGGCTGAGGCAGGAGAATGGCGTAAACCCGGGAGGCGGAGCTTGCAGTGAGCCGAGATCCGGCCACTGCGCTCCAGCCTGGGCGACAGAGCAAGACTCTGTCTCAAAAAAAAAAAAAAAAAAAAAAAAAGATTTAATGTTTGGAAGAAATTATGATGATAGGAATTAATAGAAACAGAACAACTTTGTAGTCTTTTCGTCTTACCCAGATTATCATATTTGCCTTAAATGCAGTGAGTCCAACCCAGTCAGAAGGCTGTTGTTGAGATCTGGAGAGAAAACTTGTGATATCCAAAAGTTGCTTTTGGCAGCAGTGTTTATATTTACAGTGTGAGGGTGAACAGTGCTCCAGGAGGTAGTTCACCAAGAGAAGACAGAGCTACTAGCTGTGAAGATAACCAGTGGAGCTAACAGGTCTGGAGGAAACTGGCAGAGCAAATGTATTCCACAGCATCAATTTTAACACAGATTCTCTTCAGCATGTAATTTGGGGTGGAAGAGAAGACCTTGCTGGGACACCTTATAAGTGGTGAGAATGTCAAACAGCTGCAAGAATACGCAACCCATTCATCCTTGCCATGGCTTGAGTTAACATTCTACCCACTTCAAATATGGACCATATTCATTATTTGAGAGATGGGGAGGTAGGGGCACTGCACTGGTTAGTAAGCTGCTAAGCTGCTTGCAATACAGTCGAGTATTTTTAGATGGGAAAGATTTTGCTTAGCTTTAGGCTACTGATGAGCTGTATTAATATAAGGGGAAATTATGATTATTCAGTTTTTAAGTTGCTGAAGAAAAACATTTCTCTCTTGCCACAGCCACCTCTCTATCTAAAAAACTGCAAGCGTTATTGCAGTTCCCTCCCCCACCGTCACCCTTCATGTACCTGGCATCTGGGAACATGCCCAGAACCCTTTGAAAAAAGGCAAACAGAGGAAGGAATCAGCAGAGGGGAGAGCAGCTTCCGAATAGAATAGTCTGCATTATGCCGGCAGCAGGGAGGCTGGTGGAGGAAGGGCTGCCTCTGGAGAGTGTTAAGAGGGTTTGATGGTCTCGTGACTGTATTTTTTACCATCACCAAAATAACAGCATATTGAATTGGAAGTCATTACCTTGGTCCTGGATTAATTTCTTCAGTGAAACTAGCTTTGCTGACAGCAGAAATCATGTGAACATGCAGTGAGGAATCCTATCTAGAAGGGCAAATGCTGACCTGTGGCCACCTCAATGAGTATTTTTTTTTTTTTTTTTGAAAGATAGTTGTGCTTTTGATGTTTAAGCTATTTATCGTTAAAATTTTAGCACCTAAACTAAAAAAGCAGCTTTGGATGTATAAAGATATTTGTTTAGCTCCGGTGCAGTATATGTGGTTTGACTTGAGTCTTTATTTACTTTTTTATTTATCTTTGAAACTTGATTGATTTATTTTACACAAGAAAGTATTTTTTTCTTCCTTTCCTTTTTTGAATCCTAATTGTGTGGAAACATAAGAAAGGATTTTGAAAGGATCACTCCTTCTACAGATATTCATTGAATGCCTTCCCATATGTTTAAGACCCTGGGCTAAGTGCCAGCATAGGTAGCTCATTCCCTTCCATGCCTTTAGGATCTGTCCTTAGATTTAATTAAACAGGATCTGTCCTCTGTCACCTCCTTATTTCACAGAGTAGGCTAAAGAAAAAAATTTGCCCAGCTGGATACTGAACTAGGATAAGTTTTAAATAGAAGTACCCTCAGGGTTTTATCTTAGGCCTACTACTGATAGTATCCATGGCTGTTACTACATGGCTGGTCTCTGCTTTCATTCTCGCTGTGAACCATGCTAGATAGAAAGTTGCAAACACAAACCTGTGTTCCCTTAATTACTGCCTTATTACCTGTGGAGTCCTGCTAATTCCGTTTCCAATTTGTTTATATTAGCTGCTTATGCCTAGGCTGCCCACTTAAACCTGATTCCTACACTGCAATCTGGTGCTCCCCTAGCTGAAGGGTACTTGTGAAAGAGGAGGTGAAGCTTTTGTAGCTGTAACTAACGAGTAGTTTACTGTTCCTGGCTTTAATTTAAAGTGGCTATACCCATGTTGCCAGTATTATACAGAGAAGATTTTAATCTGTAGTCATTTACACTTCCAGAGTATTTGCCAAAGACTTAGCTTAATGGATTCTCTATGGGAACCTTTTCAGATTTAGTTGGATTGTGGACAGAATCTCAGTTCACATTCTCAAACCATCCTGCTTATTTCAGGATGGTGAAGTTTATTTTATTTTGAAGAAAGGGTTTATCAGAGTTTAAACAGGAGTTCAGGAAGGTTTAAACCATGTAATAAAAGTGTTACACACTTTATAAATCTATAAATAATATCAATTGCAAGCTATTTGCTATTGATTAGATCCAGTTTTCCAAGTATTCTTCAAAGAATTATCTAGTTCTGACTTCATTTAAGGAAGTTTGTTTGTTTGTTTTTGTTGTTGTTGTCGTTGTTGTTTGAGATGGAGTCTTGCTCTGTCACCCAGGCTGGAGTGCAGTGGCACGATCTCAGCTTACTGCAACCACCGCCTCCCGGGTTCAAGCAGTTCCCTGCCTCAGCCTCCCAAGTAGCTGATTACAGGTGCCTGCCACCAATCCCAGCTAATTTTTGTATTTTTAGTAGAGAAGGGGATTCACCATCTTGGCCAGGCTGGTCTCCATCTCCTGACCTCGTGATCTACCCGCCTTGACCTCCCAAAGTGCTGGGATTACAGGCGTGATCCACTGCGCCTGGCCCATTTAAGGAAGTTTTTAATGCAAAGTTTACCAAGTCATTATTTTCTCCTTCCTTCAAATTAGTCCTAATGAGTTAGATTTTACTATAGTGTGTGTGGGTTTTTCAATTTATCTTTATAATTATATTCTGGTATTTTAAATTTTTACTAGGATAGAAGGTTCTGGAGATACTACATTGGCTTTGTGAAGTATAGACATATGGTTGGGCTCTGAGTATTGGCACCCTAATGCCCATCACCATTTCTAGTCATCTCTTTATAATTCTTTCAGAAAGCAAGACCATCGCCAACTTTAGGAATGTGCTACAAGAGAATATTATGAAAACAAAAACCAAAAACCCCAGTAGCACTATGAGATTCTGTTTTCTGAAAGATTTGGGAAGAAGGGTAAAGAGTTTAATCTGTCAGGGTTATAAGAGGGAAAAAAAACTTGATGGAATGTGAGAAAGATTTGTAAAATTGGACAAATACTAAAAGAAGTTAGGTCTTAACCTTAGCCCCTCCTCCCAAATCCTGCAGAAACAATTGGGAGGAGACAGTGATTGACGTTTTGGGAGCCTCAGCCTTCCCCCATTTCTGGTGGGAAAGTTGCTGGCTTAGTAGGAGCCATGTGACAACACTGGCTTTTAGGAAAGGCACTGGCTTTTACAAAAAGAAAACATTTCACTGATTTTCCGTACAAGTTTTCAACTGTTTGTTTTCCTTTTATATAGCAAATCCAGTTTGCTGATGACATGCAGGAGTTCACCAAATTCCCCACCAAAACTGGCCGAAGATCTTTGTCTCGCTCGATTTCACAGTCCTCCACTGACAGCTACAGTTCAGGTAGGTGTGAATGAACTCTATGTCCTCTCTAATCTCTCTTCCCTGTTTGCTACCAGTGTTGTTCACTTAGCAATCTGAAAATACCTCATGTTATGACTGCCCACCTTTGTGCTGAAAACTGTTAGTTAGTGGCTGGGCACTGGGAATGTTCTGCAGTCAGGCTAGTAGCTGGGGAAGCTTCTGTTGACTCGAGACTTTCTTCCCCCTGGCTGTCTATGTGTGTGGTCTGTGGCCAGTGGCCAGTTGGTAGGACTGGGCTAGTTCCCATTCCCACATTGATCCACCCGCATTTCAAAGGGAAGAAATCAATGCTATTTTGGCTGACAGAATTGGCCTTAAAAAAGAAGTGCATTTTGAAGCACGATTTCTTTGTATGAAATATATCCTGCCACCTATCTCTTTCTTTCTTGTCCCCAAGACTGCTTAGATTGTAACAAGAAAATTAATATCTAGGCTTCTTTTATTTATTGGGTTATTCCTTCTGTTGAAATATCCTCCCCGTTAGCCTCTGGAGTAGGAAAGATTCAGACTACTATAATGTGACTCCAGCTCTGTTTCTTTGTAGTTCTCTCCTCCTGTCTTAACTCTCTATAAATAAAGTCTTTTTCTGTTTCGTATTGTGTCCTTCCCAACTACAGAGTATGTATTAGAAAATTAGCATGGAAAAGAATATAGAATCTTGGCAGCTGAATGTAGGAGAAAACATTAGGGACATCTAACGGGGCATCCAATACAACTTTGTTGTTGTTTAAGTGAAGACTCATTGTTAAACGATTAAGAGGTTACAGATTGCTATTAATGTCAGCAGAGATATTTGTACCAAAAACCATTCATTGTCCTTTGCCAGAATACCTTTTACATTGTATTACTTACATTAAGGATTAACATAAATGAAAAGCCATTATATGTCATCTTGGAGTGACAGATAAAAAGTGGTGTGTGACAAGCAGGCTAATTGTAGCCAAGAAAGAAGAAAAATTAATTGTGAAAAATTGAGTTATGAGAGGAAGAGAGGAAGAACGATAAAACGACTGAAGAAGGCTTTTAAAAAGTCTTCAAAGATCTTGATGGCCATGTTACAGAAATGTATTAGAGCCTTTTAAAAAGCTTAGTGATATGGTTAAATTGTCATCGTGGGGAAGATAAGCTTTAGTAGTATTTGTGTTAGCTGGACCGGAGGAGGACCTGTACATAGAAGTCAGTCCATGAGAGAGTCCAGATATACTAGAAACTGTGATGAGGAAAATACTCAATTCAGAGAGGAAAAAAGTGATTTGAGAGGTAAGGAATGATTGTTGTATATCCTCATGCATATCTGTCGGATAAGTGGTATTTTTGGCTTTTATGTGAAACCGCTTTTTAAGTTGGTCATTTTGACAGACTTTCCCAGGGCTATCAATAGAACCAGAGCTGCTTGCCTTTTGTGCCATTTATTTCTTTCTCTATTCCTTGAGCACAACTTAGTGTAAAATCCCTTGTAAGACTATCTAATCACTTTTGTCTATATCCATGGTTCTTAAAGCATGGTCCTCTGACTAGCAGCATCAGCAACACCTGGTAACTTGTTAGAAATACTACTTCTTAGGTGCCACCCCATACCTGCCAAATGGGAAACTGGCCATGGGGTCTAGCAATATATGTTTTAACAAACCTTCCATGTGATCCTGACAGATGCTTGAATTTGAGAACCAGTAATCTACAGAAATACCGTTCCTTATCTGCCCTAAATTGTTCTTCTGTTTTTGCCAGGTCTAGTTCCAATCCAGATGGGACCAGGTACCTCTATTATCTGGGATTACTATAGCTGGTACAGGTTTAGAATCAGTAGTCCCTTATCACAGGCACTAATGGCATAATATTGTTAGGGTGGGTGAAAGAGCTGCAACACGGAAGCATCCACAACATTTTCATTCATACCACCAATTAGAGCCTAGAGGAGCAGAAGTGAGAGGGTTATAAAAGGTAACTCCAATTAAGAGTGTTCCCTTGACTTAAATGAAAGTCCCTTGGGGACTGCACTCTGTAGAGTTGGGGCCACTGAGGTTTTTCTATCCTTGTTTTTTTCTTTCCTGGCTCTAGCTGCATCCTACACAGATAGCTCTGATGATGAGGTTTCTCCCCGAGAGAAGCAGCAAACCAACTCCAAGGGCAGCAGCAATTTCTGTGTGAAGAACATCAAGCAGGCCGAATTTGGACGCCGGGAGATTGAGATTGCAGAGCAAGGTAAAGAAAGGGAGTGGTTTAGGGGACGAGAAACGACCCTCTTGTTGGCCATCAGAATCCACAAACAACTTAAGACTTGAAAGCTGACTTGAAAGTATACTGGGAAGAAAGTATTATGGACTTCCGGATACACACTTCTCTATGGAACTTGAGTCTCAGGATTCTTGTTCTCTCTTCCTTCTGTTCTCAGCATGTGGTGATGACACACAGAGTAGTTTCTGTTTTCCTCCCCGCCCCACCCCACCACCGTATTCAAAGATCTACATGGCAGAATTGGCAAGTCCTAGATCACTACTTGGTAGTTGGTTATATGGGATCTTACTATAGCTGCCAATGCCAGAGACCCAGATTGCCCAGAGACAGCTGATGAGGAAGGGTTTTAAGCTAAGGATGTGGTGACCTAGCGTCTTGTTTGGTCCTGAGCACCCTCTGCTGGAGCAGAGTAAAAGTGACTGACAAACAGTTGAATCTTGGTTTCCCTACCCCAACCACTCCCAGTAAGGTCCTCTTTACTCTTGTGTTGTTTACACATTGAAGGCATGTTCTTTACTGAAAGAGAATAGAGAAACCAAACAGACTGACAGGATACGGTAAGACAGCATAGAAAAACAGAAGTTAGTGATTTCAGCTGAGGGTACAGTCTTTCTGGTCTGATGATTTTATATATAGGGATCTGTTAGCCAGTGCCTTAACTACTTTCCTCTCTTCCCAAATGAATGATGAGATTTACCCTTCATTTTGATCAGTTTTAAGGATTTACTTCATTCTCTGTTCAGTCCTCTGTGTATAAAGCTGAAGCAGTAGAGGAAGAGAGAAACTCCAAGTGGTTGCATGACCGCTCTCCACTATTACTGTGCTGTTGAAGCTGCCAGTCATCATGAAAATAGGCTTAAAGTTTTTCTGTCTCATCTCACCGTATCTCAACAGATCCAGACCAGCCCTGGGGCAGGAACTGATGATACTGCTAGTGCAGACCTAGCTCAAATCCTCTGTTCTTTCACAGACATGTCTGCTCTGATTTCACTCAGGAAACGTGCTCAGGGGGAGAAGCCCTTGGCTGGTGCTAAAATAGTGGGCTGTACACACATCACAGCCCAGACAGCGGTGAGTTTGTTGGAAGAAAAGAGGGACTTCTGATAAGGGGAAGAAAGAAATCAATGTTTTTTTTTGTTTCACTTTTCCTTCCTAACTCACCAACCTCCAAATGCTAACTATTAGTAGGATCTCCCTGCTACACAATAGTGGGGTTTTCTGGGGGTTTTTTGTATGTGTAAACCCACTTTCAGCAAACTTGACCTAGGAAAGTCTAGATTTGCAAACATATGATTGTTATAAAATGTTATTAAGACTTTTAGAAACCTACGTTTTATGTAAAGTTAAACACCAGTGCACCACCTCGCTGGAGTACACCCCTTTCTAACTTCCCAGTGTAGCGCCTGTTGGTGCAGAGTTGATAGGTATTGTTATCTTGCTGAGGCTTGCTCTCCATTCCTGGGTGGCCCTTCTCTTCCTCACCCTGTCTTCCTATACCTCTACACAGGTGTTGATTGAGACACTCTGTGCTCTGGGGGCTCAGTGCCGCTGGTCTGCTTGTAACATCTACTCAACTCAGAATGAAGTAGCTGCAGCACTGGCTGAAGCTGGTAAGTTCAGTATTTTTTTTTTTTTTTTTTTTTTACCAAATTTGCCCCAAAATAGTAATCCAAACATATAACTTTTATGTATTAAAATTGTCATTACAATGTCATATATGTCTAGAGGCTGTAAAATTGGGGATGGTGAAAACCTCAACAGGAAGAATGTGGATAATAAAATTAAGATGTATATCCATGATGGAATATTATGTAGTCATTAAAAATGACCTTTGAAAATAATCTAATGGCATGGGGACATGCACAGTTCTGGTGTTAGTTGAACGAGGAAGAATGTTAAACTATATACGTGCTATCAGTTTTGTGAGAGAGCACAAGTAGGAAGTGCCTTTTATATTGATAGTGCATTAAATAATTTGGTATTCAGTATGGCATTGAAAATATATGAGCTATTCATGAGTTTAATTAAACAAAATAATTTTTTATTATTCAGGCCAGGCCTGGTGGCCCATGCCTGTAATCCCAGCACTTTGGGAGGCCGAGGCGGGCAGATCACTTGAGGCCAGGAGTTCAAGACCAGCCTGGCCAACATGGTAAAACCCCACCTCTACTAAAAATACAAAAGTTAGCCGGGAGTGGTGGTGTGCGCCTGTAATTTCAGCTACTCCGGAGGCTGAGGTAGGAGAATCACTTGAACCCGGGAGGCAGAGACTGCAGTGATCCGAGATCATGCCACTGCACTGCAGCCTGGGCGACAGAGTGAAACTCCATCTCAAAAATTAATAACAATAATAATAATAATTTTTATTATTCAAATGTTCAGAAGAAAATCACCATGAAGTTTCTTTGAGGACCTCTCATCTTTCTCTCTTCCCTTCTCTTCTCTTTCTCTTTCTCTTTCTCTTTCTCTTTCTCTTTCTCTTTATCAAGATGGAGCCTTACTCTGTTGCCCAGGCTGGAGTGCAATGGTGCAGTCTCGGCTAACTGCAACCCCTGCCTCCTGGATTCAAGTGATTATCGTGCCTCAGCCTCCTGAGTAGCTGGGATTGCAGATGCACGCCACCACACCCAGCTAATTTTTGTATTTGTAGTAGAGATGGGGTTTCACCATGTTGGCCAGGCTAGTCTCGAACTCCTGACCAGCCTGGATGTTTGATCTGCCTGCCTTGGCCTCCCAAAGTGCTGGGATTACAGGCGTGAGACACTGCACCCAGCCAGACCTCTCATCTTTCTAAGAACCTCAGAAAGTAACTTTATAATACTTTTGGGGTTTTTTGTTTATTCTTTTCTGATAAGTGTTTACTGCAAAAAATTTAGGAAGTTCCCAAAAAACCTACAATCCCACTACATAGAGTATTTGATGAATTTTTTTCCTTTTCCTTTTTTCTACTTTACATGGATGAAATAAATTCTAATATGTATACAGTTTTATAACCTAAATATAATATTTTCAGATGTAGTTTTCCATGTCACTGAAAAGTTTGACAGCATCATTTGTAATACTCATTCATATGGCTATGTGATTTTACTTCACTATTTTCCTAATGGTGAACATTTAGATTGTTTCAAGATGTTTACTAATATCAATAATGCTCCAGTTAACAGCTTTATATTAATTCCCACTTCATTTTATCTCCTTCTCAGTATAAAATTAGCCCAAAGAAAGGAACACTTTAAGGTTCCAAAATACTTTTAAAACAAAAATTCCTTAATTCTTAACATAATTAATTTCTGAAGCAAAAGTGATTCTTTGACTTTTGGCTCTAAATATTTTCCTTTCTGAAATTGTTTCTTTTGCCTTTTTCTCTTCACATGGATCTCAGAGAGTGATTTGGTACAGGACATTCCTCAAAGGAGGCGGGCAGCTGATTCATTTCTGTCTCTACAGGAGTTGCAGTGTTCGCTTGGAAGGGCGAGTCAGAAGATGACTTCTGGTGGTGTATTGACCGCTGTGTGAACATGGATGGGTGGCAGGCCAACATGGTAATAATGCATATACATCCTACACTTTGACAATAGATTTATTTCCTTTTTTTCCCTCAAAGCATGGTTCCCTAAATATGTTTTGGATGTTTGGTCTTATGCACTGACTTTGTTGCTAAAGTGTTTAGCTTGATACCTATTCAGAATGGGTCTGAGTACTGAATGGAAAGGTGGGGGAAGGGTAAGACTAGCTGAACACATGGCTCAGACACACCAGAACGAAATAGTGGTGCTTCTTTGGAGTAGGATTCTGCTTTCTTTCCTTCTGCCCCAGTTCTCCTTTTATATTCAAAGGGCCTATATATTTCAAGACTCTAGACTAAAAATGAGTCTGTGATTAGCTTAATACTCATCACTGTAGCCTAAAACAAACCTAGGAATCCTTTTAACCATTTTACACCAACAAATTTGACTGTATTTCCACTATCTAAGCCTGCTCTAAGGAGCTCTGAGGAGTGCTCTTCCAAAACATACAGGGCTCTCTTACTAGTACAGAAAGTGGGTTCAAAGTTCCCCCCAGCCCTAGCAGCCTGAATGCCCATAGAAGTCTTCTGGCTGTTCTATAGATCCTGGATGATGGGGGAGACTTAACCCACTGGGTTTATAAGAAGTATCCAAACGTGTTTAAGAAGATCCGAGGCATTGTGGAAGAGAGCGTGACTGGTGTTCACAGGTAACAGATTCTGGAGTAGCTGCCCCTTGTGTCCTTGCCTCAGCAAACTCTTCTGGTCTCTCTTAGGCTTTAGGACTGTGTTTCAGACTTATAACTAAATGGGAATATCTTCATTAGATAAAACTTCTGAGTTTTTACTTTTGAAAAATCAAGTTGATCCTAGAAGGAAGTTATTTCAGGTTCTAGTTCATACATTTTTCTCTCCCATTTACTCCACTGAGTGATTCTCAACTAGTGTTGAGGGGCGGGTAGGGAATAAGTGTATCTTGAAAAACTGTATTCAATATTGTATTATCATTTTATATTTGAAATATGAAAAACAATCCTATTGTAAAACTACATGTTAACACTACAAAAAGTAAAACTGGGCAAAATATTCTTGGCTTGTCGGAATACTGAAAAGATATCTGAAAGAGTGTTTCTTGGGGGCACATTGCACATGCTTACTCTCTCTCACACACACACACACATGGAACCATATCAGAATCATTGATAGTCTTTGTTTATCAGAAGTAGGCATGGATTTCTATTGAAAACTGCTGATCAAAGGAAATAACATGCCCTATAAAGGGAAGAGAAGTACATTTCTTCAATTGAAAGGCTTTTTTTTTCTTCCAAAAAAGGGGTAAAGGGAGAAGAAAATGAAAAGAAGTGTGGAGGGATGACAAGGAAATAATCATGTTTTCTAATATCCTTGGGCAATAAATGAGACTGGGAAGGGCAGCATGGAACTTGAAGAGAATTAGGCAGATTTTGCCACATATTATGTTGTGCCAGCTAACTTGGTTTTTGTTTGTTTTTGTGACCTCTTCTCCCTTTAGGCTATATCAGCTCTCCAAAGCTGGGAAGCTCTGTGTTCCGGCCATGAACGTCAATGATTCTGTTACCAAACAGAAGTTTGATAACTTGTACTGCTGCCGAGAATCCATTTTGGATGGGTAGGTTGAATGTATATATATTCAAATTTCTAGGGGCTCTGGTCTTGTCCCCTGGTCTTCCTTTGGCTTTAAAAGTTTATTAGAGGGACCATTTCATACTGAGCTCTGCCAGCTTCCAATTGATATTCTCAAGGGCATTGGCCCACACTTTTAACTGTGAAGAGGAACTGAGTTTGAGCTGTTAACATTTGAGTTGAGTCCTTGTCTGTTTCCACAGCCTGAAGAGGACCACAGATGTGATGTTTGGTGGGAAACAAGTGGTGGTGTGTGGCTATGGTGAGGTAAATAGCTGGGTCTCAGTGTCTCTTTCTTTTTGTGTACTTACTAGAAATAGTTGGTGAAGGAGGCTTATGCTGTCAATCTAGAGTCACTGATACAAGGTTTAAATTTTTTTAGATAATGTATCTCAAACAATAGCAAAAGTCTTTTATTCAGATTTATGAACAGAAACATACAAAATGAATTGAGTTTTCAGATTTTACCATTTTGTTTTGTGGTATAGATACCAGTATCATTTTCCCCAATTATAACAATAACCTTTAATGAGACTTAATTCAAATGAATGTGTAGCATTTTAGCCCCCACAAGTGACTTGCAGTAGAATTAAGGGTGGAATCTGAAATGGCATACAGTTGAATATCTCCAAACTGGAATAGGTCACAGATTTTGTTGTCTTCAGCAATGACCCACAGAAGTTCCTGAGCTACGAAGCTATCCTTGAGTAGATTCTTGTCAAGTAAGAGAATAAGAAATTAGAGGTTGCTTAGAGTAAGTTGCTTTTGCTTAGTCTTGTTTACCTAATGAAAACTGCTGTGCAAAGCCCAGTCCTTCCTATGACATGTCTGCTAAATTACCTCTCTAACTGAGGTTCACCACGTAATCTGGATCTGTTTCTGTTCTGCTTGGGATTGGAGCATCTGTGCAGTTGCTCATCAGATGACGGGCTGTTTCATGAAGGTTAATTCCTGTCTCACAAATAACCTACCTATCCGAAATATCCATGATGTAATGAACCTAATGACTTGACCGTTCTTTTCTTCTGCAGGTAGGCAAGGGCTGCTGTGCTGCTCTCAAAGCTCTTGGAGCAATTGTCTACATTACCGAAATCGACCCCATCTGTGCTCTGCAGGCTTGGTAAGAACAGACTGATAATACTATTAGATTCACCCTAGGTACTTTATGTTACTGAGAGTTCATAATTGAGTATATTAATCATTTTTGCAGAAATCACCTAGGGGAAGAGAAGGCTAGGACTGCTCTGTTCTTCTCATTCTAACCCTAGGGCTCTCTTAGAGCCTCTTGGCAGTTTTCCTTCCTGGATGGAGTCTTAGGGACTCTGAAGAGGCCAGTGTATATAGTTTAGCACAGCTTATCACTCACCATTCCTGTGAGGTGGCACTGGATCCAACTTTAGAAGGGGATCTTGTCTCATTTCATGACCATCTTCCCTCCCACTGCCTTCTTGCTTTACTCATAATGTTCCTTTCTTTTCTTCTAGCATGGATGGGTTCAGGGTGGTAAAGCTAAATGAAGTCATCCGGCAAGTTGATGTCGTAATAACTTGCACAGGTAAATAACTTGCATAGAGGGGTGTTTATTCAGAGGCTAAATCTTGAAAGTAGTCTTAGTGACTTTCATACAAAGGAGGTGAGACCTCTGTTCAGTATAAAGATCTCAGAACTAGAATAAGCTGTCAGAACCTTAACATGTTTTCCAGAGTAAAAAACTTCTTTCCCTGGTGACTTTTTATACTGCTTGATCTGAAGACCAGGTAGCCTAAGGAGTGGTTATGCATGTCTTCTCTCAGAATGTGTACATGTCCTTTAATGCCAGCAAGCCTCCTGTCTCCTATGTTCTACCAGAAAGCCAACCAGTACCTTTGTTGTCCAGCATCTCTTTCCTTAGCCACTCATCTTTACTTTTAGGAAATAAGAATGTAGTGACACGGGAGCACTTGGATCGCATGAAAAACAGTTGTATCGTATGCAATATGGGCCATTCCAATACGGAAATCGATGTGGTAAGGCTCCTCTCATTTGTTGCTAGGCATTTCTCTACTACCTTTCATTAATAACGATAGTCAACTGTGCTTTCTTCCTTTCAGACCAGCCTCCGCACTCCAGAGCTGACGTGGGAGCGAGTACGTTCTCAGGTGGACCATGTCATCTGGCCAGATGGCAAACGAGTTGTCCTCCTGGCAGAGGTACACACAGAAAAGGACTCTGGCAGAGCAGCACAAGCAGAGTAGTTAGATCCATGGTGGGGGTGGCGGGGGGGAACAAATATTGGGCCTGTGTTTCCCTGAATTTTATCTTTGGAGAGAGAGATATTTCACAAATTATCTGGTCCCCAAAATAAAACCACTTAAAAAAAATCTCATTACTAAGTAACACTATTTCCTAACCACAGCTGATTCTTTAACCTTTCAGACTCAGATGGATTTGCAGAAAATAGGAAAAAGCCTAGAGTCCTGATCTGGAACTGTAATTCTTCCTCTTCCAGCTGAGTCTAGAGGGGTGTAAAGTCTTCTTCCGCTTTGGCTTGACTTGTATGCCATTGGAATCTGAGACAGAGCTCATCCCAGGGCTCTCTCTTACCTTTCCAGGGTCGTCTACTCAATTTGAGCTGCTCCACAGTTCCCACCTTTGTTCTGTCCATCACAGCCACAACACAGGTATGTGGCAAAATGCCTGCTTACATTGCACCGCAATTTGTGGAACTGGGCGTAGATCAGTTCCAGTGAGGGTGTACTGTACTATGTTCTCATCATCCTATTCTTTTTTTATGTAATAAATTGTTGAGACTTAGGTATTCTCAAGTACAGAAAAGAGTCACTAGTCAGTATTTGTTGAATTGGCTGTTTAGTTGAGAATATAATGTTCCAGCTTAGTTTTATTTGAGTTGTTCTTTTGTCAGGAACTAAACAAAAACAACAAATCCTCTTAGGATGTGTGCTGCCCTTTAGTATAGGCAAAGTCTTAGGTGCTGTCACTATGGTAGATCACTGTAGTACTTACCCAAATGCTATTAAACCTGGTTTTATTTTTATGTACCTGTCTAACAATTATTTTTATGTTTTCTGGTCTTCTTTTCCCACCTTAGGCTTTGGCACTGATAGAACTCTATAATGCACCTGAGGGACGATACAAGCAGGATGTATACTTGCTTCCTAAGAAAATGGGTGAGTGAAAAACAGTGGAATCCTATGCAGACAGCTGCATAGTTTGGTAAAATGACTGCCATGAAAGGCATTGGATTTAGAGTCAGAGTTCCAATTCCTGTTCTTGTGCTTACTGGTTGTTTGACCTCAGGACAAGTTCTAATCTCCATGATCCTCAGTTTCTTGATTGGTAAAATGAGAATAATACTACATACATTGTAGAATTGTGTGAGAATCCCAGCTAATGAGTAACAGTGCTTAACACAATGGTTTAGGGTAGATGTTCTTACTCTAAGTAGCCTTATTAAGTTCAGTAAACTTCCTAGTGCAGCTGAGTACATACAGCCTTGGACCAAAATGAAAGAAACACAGGTTTTATTGTCCATTATCTGTGAGGATATGCAAACTATCCAATCTCTTGTAAGCAACCCATGCTGTGTTAAAGTGACATAATACATCATCTGTAGTCCTTTACCTTTCTGCATGGTGGTACCCATCTCCCATATCTCCTTGGCTAGGCCAAATCCCTTACTTCTTAACGCTAAAATACTTCTTGCTGTCCTCTCCTCCAATAGCTTACTTCAGACTTTTTTTTTTTTTAAGTGTATAATTATAAAAGGGAAGCTTATCTATGGAAAAGTAATAATTTTGTGCCAACTACCTTGGAAATTCATGATCCTAAGATTTGATCCTAAGATCCATGGATCTTATCCTAAATAAGTGTTATTGACACAGGCTCTTCCTAGCTTACTGGTGTCCACTTTGATTGCTAATTTGACTATAATTTAATCTAGTTAAGGAGGTTGCTGCAGGAAGGTAGGAGTAGCATGTGACATGTTGGCCACTGCAGGGAAGGCCCCTGCTTTGTCACAGAAGGATAGAGAGGTAAAAGCCCACTCCCTTTTGTTACCCTGGTAAGTGGCTTTTCTGAACTCACTTGAGATGTGCTGAGAGAAGCACCCTGCCCAGAAAGGCAGCCTTGAGGTTTTTTTTTATTAAGCAAATATTTCAAGTTGTGGATTCTTTTAGAGTTATTCCATCCCTTGTCTGCTTTCTTAAAAAAGCTTCAAATGAAAATGGGAAATTATAACCTGAGAGACATTTTGAAAAGGAGTGTGCTCTCCTGCCACTTTGCTCTTCCTAGATGAATACGTTGCCAGCTTGCATCTGCCATCATTTGATGCCCACCTTACAGAGCTGACAGATGACCAAGCAAAATATCTGGGACTCAACAAAAATGGGCCATTCAAACCTAATTATTACAGGTAAACCTGGGGAGAAGCAAGTGAAAAGCTCTTTTTCCCAGTATTAAACCAAGCAGGCTAGCCTGTTTCTGACATAAAGATCAAATGTTGTACCAGAGTACAAGAAATCTGTTCCAGGCCAGGCACGGTGGCTCACACCTGTAATCCCAGCACTTTGAGAGGTCTAGGCGGGTGGATCACGAGGTCAGGAGTTCAAGACCACCCTGGCCAACATGGTGAAGCCCTATCTCTTAGCCGGGCATGGTGGCAGGCACCTGTAATCCCAGTTACTCAGGTAGCTGAGGCACAAGAATCACTTGAACCCGGGAGGCAGAGGTTGTAGTGAGCCAGGATCACACCACTGCACTCCAGCCTGGGTGATGGAGTGAGACTCTGTCTTAAAAAACAAAACAAAACAAAAAAAAACCAGTTAACAAGGTAGATAGAGAAATTGTCGTAGATGTAAGGGAGTTTGGGGTTTTTTTTGAAATTTTGGAGCCTGGGCCTCACCCCAAGAGATTCTGATATATTTGGTCTGCGATGGGACCAAATTTACAAAACATTATTTTGTAAAACCTCCCCAGATTATTGTAATGTTTAGTCAGGGTTGAAAAACACTGACTCGGCCGGGCGCGGTGGCTCAAGCCTGTAATCCCAGCACTTTGGGAGGCCGAGACGGGCGGATCACGAGGTCAGGAGATCAAGACCATCCTGGCTAACACGGTGAAACCCCGTCTCTACTAAAAAATACAAAAAACTAGCCGGGCGAGGTGGCGGGCGCCTGTAGTCCCAGCTACAGAGGAGGCTGAGGCAGGAGAATGGTGTAAACCCGGGAGGCGGAACTTGCAGTGAGCTGAGATCCGGCCACTGCACTCCAGCCTGGGCGACAAAGCGAGACTCCGTCTCAAAAAAAAAAAAAAAAGAAAAAGAAAAACACTGACTCATTCCTGGGAACAGGTGGTAACACCAGAAATGGCATTGCTAGAGACCCTGTGGAAGAACAAGGGAGAATGGTGCCCTGGAGAATGACTGCAGGGATCCCACCCAGGCTGGGGAGGGGCCCTGGAGAAGGTGCTCTGTTTCTGATTGTTCTCTTGGAACTCTCATATGGAAGACATAAGTGTTAACCAATCTCTCTCTCTTTACAGATACTAATGGACCATATTACCAAGGACCAGTCCACATGACCCACACACTCTAAAAGAAATATTTTTTAAGATAACTTTTATTTTCTTCTTATTCCTTTCCTCTTGATTTCTTTCCTATAATTTCATTCTTGTTTTTTCATCTCATTATCCAAGTTCTGCAGACCACACAGGAACTTGCTTCATGGCTCTTTAGATGAAATAGAAGTTCAGGGTTCCTCACCCTAGTCACTAAAGAAGGATTTTACTCTCCCATCCCAGAAAGGTGATTCTTTCTTTACCATTTCTGGGGACTTTAGTCTTAATTAGGTACCTTATTAACAGGAAATGCTAAGGTACCTTCTCTGTGGAACAATCTGCAATGTCTAAATCGCCTTAAAAGAGCCCATTTCTTAGCTGCTGAAATCAGTGCTCTTTCACTTCTTCAGAGAAGCAGGGATGGTACCTACCCGGCAGGTAGGTTAGGTGTAGGTGGTGCATGTTAATTTCCCTTAGAAGTTCCAAGCCCTGTTTCCTGTGTGAAGGTGGTATGTCTGGTTCAGAGATGTGTATAATGAGCGTTGCTTGTTAAGACCAGGAGGCCCACTTGGATTTATAGTACAGCCCTTCCTCTACTCCCACCAGACTTTCTCATTTTTCTAGTTTTTAACTAGACTCTATTGAGTTTAATTTTGTCCTCTAGGATTTATTTCTGTTGTCCAAAAAAAAAAAACACAGAAAAATTAAGGAGAATTTTTAGTGTTAATGCTGAGGAACTACTTGAGTGGTTAGTTGTTACCAATTTCTCTTTCGAACCTTTGGAGCTAAGGGTGCTGAGTCTAGAGAAGTGCTAGTCTCAAGCCCTTTTAAGTCCCTCTGTTTCTAGCCTATAGTTTATAGCATCAGTGAACTGGAGCCATAACAGCAAATTCTATCAGCTCTGTCCCATACAGCTTGTGCTGAAGGCAAATTTCTTGAGCCATTGCTCAGTATAAAGCACTGAGTTCTATCTTTAGGATTTATCTTTAAGAGCAAATTTCTGGTCAGCTGTGCTTCTGCAACCTAAAATATTTAAAGGGAGGTAGGTGTGGGCAGGAGGAGAAATGATAAATTGGGCCAGGGCAAGAAATATCTAGCTGCATATAATTTGTCTGGGATTATACACCCTATATAATGTTAGTTTTACAGAAGTAATGCGACTTTTGATTGCTACATACCACAAAAAGTTTATGAACTGAAATCTTAAAGGGCAGTTGATGTGGGAAGAAAGTAGTCAGTACATCCTGGCTCATGCTCTGAAAGAATCTCCAGAGAGGCTCTCTCAAAGATCAGGGAGATATATTCCCATGCCATGCACCCTGCTTCCCAGCATTTCTGCATGGTCAAATGAGCTTTATGCTCATGAGCTTTAAGTTTATAATTATCCAGGATTTTAAATCCTCAACTTGTTCTAGCTTGTGATCCTTCAAAGTTGGGTCATACATTAGTGCTAGATACTAGAAATATTCACTTTTCCACTGATCAGAGAGACAGACATTAAAAACAAAAATAGAAGAAAGGAAAGCTTTCACCCTGCAGCTTCTTAGCAGGGGACAATTGTCTTGCCAAAACTTTTTTCCCTTTTCTCTCCCATTTTCTCCCACCCAGTCCCTTCTCACCCCTTGCCAGTGTGACCATGCTTGCTTCTCTGTAGATGTTAACAGTTAAGGCCCATTTTCCTCAGGCACTTAACCAGCCAATCAGAACACCACATCTGTTAGGGGAGGTAACCTGGCCAACAGTGTGTCCATCACATCAGCCCTGCTGGAGGGAAGGGACCCACATTCACCTGCCCTCTGGCCTGCCCCCGATCCCATATCTATTACTGTGTCCATAGGAATAATAGGTAAGGGCTGTGTCTCTGTCAAGCCATGTAACAAAGGACACTGTAAAAAAAAAAAAAAGTCTGGCATCAGAGGGAGCATGTGGAGAGCAACTTGGGAGGAACAAGTTCATTTTGTATTGAATGATTTTTAATGAATGCAATATTAATCCTTGCAGATGAGCAATAATCATTAAAATCGATTAAAATGATAAGACCTTATTGGCAGTCTGTGTCATTCTTTGTTGAACAGCAAAACTTCATCAGAACCTGTTTTCTAGGGTGTGACAAGTTATAGGTCAGCAGCATTTAATAGAGATGTGTTGAGGGCCTAATATGTAGAGGCTGGATACAGGATTCTTCAGTAATATCTGAAGTTTTCTATGCCTGCTCTGTGCCAAGCACCGGGCCTGGGTACTTTCACTCCTAACTTCCTTCAGGAAGCAGACTTGCTGCTTCAGCCTCAGGGCTCCTCATTTGCATAGTTCCTTCTAAGACCTAATTTCTAAAGAATGCCCCCAAAGTTACGTAAGCTTCAGCCTCCTCCTACACCTGTATCCATTTCTGAAGTGGTCTCAGTGTCTGGGTTTTTGGTTTTTTTTGTTTTTGTTTTTTTTTTTTTTGAGACAAGGTCTCACTCTGTCACCCAGCTTGGAGTACAGTGGCTTGATCTCAGCTCACTGCAACTTCTGCCTCCCGGGCTCAAGTGATCCTCCCACCTCAACCTCCCAAGTAGCTGGGACCACAGTCTCAGCTAATTTTTTTGTATTTTTGGTAAGGATGGAGTTTCATCATGAAGTCCAGGCTGATCTCAAACTCCTGGGCTCAAGTGATCCTCCTGCCTCTGCCTCCCAAAGTACTGGGATTACTGGCTAGTGTCTTCTGATGTAACAAAGTATTTGTCTTAGTCAGTTTCTGCTGCTCCAGCCAAATCCTGAGACTAAGTAATTTATAAAGAACAGAAATTGATATTCTCACAGTTTTGGAGGCTGGGAAGTCCAAGGTCAAGTCGTTGGCAGATTTGGTGTCTGAAGAGGGCTGCTCCCTGCTTCCAAGATGGTGCCTCTTATGCATCCTAATATAGCAGAAAGTAGAAGGGCAAAAAGGACCTACCTATTTCCCTCCAGTCCTTTTTTAAGGTCATTCAACCCATTCATGAGGACAAAGCTCCTAAAGGCCCTACGTCTTGATACTATCACATTGGCAATTAAGCTTCAACAGATGAATTTTGAGGGACACATTCAGATCACAGCATTCCATCCCTGGCCTCCCAAATTCATGTCCTCCTTATATGCAAAATACATTCAATCCATCTCAATACCCTTTAAAGTCTTAACACATTCCAGCACCAACTCAGAAGTCTAGAGTCTCATTTAAATCAGATACAGGTGAGACTCAAGATATAATTCATCCAAGGCCAGACATGGTGGCTCACACCTGTAATCCCAGCACTTGGGGAGGCTGAAGCGGGTGGATCACCTGAGGTCAGGAGTTCAAGACCAGCCTGGCCAACATGGCCAAACCCTGTCTCTACTAAAAATACAAAAATTAGCCGGGCCTGGTGGTGGGTGCCCATACTCCTAGCTACTCAGGGGCTGAGACAGGAGCATCACTTGAAACTGGGAGTCAGAGTTTGCAGTGAGTGAGCTGAGATAGTACCACTGCACTCCAGCCTGGGCAACAGAGCAAAACTCCATCTTAAAAAAAAAGATACAGTTCATCCTCTGTGAACCTGTAAAATCAAATGAGTTAGGTACTTCCAAAATACAATGGTGGGGTAGGCATAGGGAACATTCTTATTCCAAAAGGGAGAAATAGGAAAGAAAAAAGGAGTAACAGATTCCAGTCGAATCTAAAATCCAACAGGTCACATGTTAAATCTTACAGCTTCAGAATAATCTGACTCCATGCCCTACCTCTGGACACACTGGGGTGGGGTTTGGGCTCCAAAAGCTTTGCTTGGTGCAGCCCATGTGACAACTCTCAGGTTGGAGTCTCATGTCTGCAGCTCTCCCAGGCTGGAGTTTGTTCTGGGTTCTTGAGGTCACCTTGCTTCCATAGCTCCACTAGGCATTGCCCTAGTGGGAACTCCGCAGTAGCCCTGCCCCTGTGGCAGTTCTGTGCCTGGAACTCAAAACTCTCCAAGGCATCCTTTGAAATCTGTCTAGGCACTACATTCTCCACTGAAAGGAGCCAGGACTCACTGGAGAAATGACTGATTTCATGGCAGAGCAAAAAAAGTACAAGATAAGCCAGAAAGCAAGGAAGGGCTTAAAAAAGAATACATAAGCCAGCTTTAAGGGATTTACATGGGGTAAATCTGAGACAATCTGAGCATCAGAATAGTAATGACTTGTAACGCATTGTAACAAAATAGAAAACTATGACTCTCTGCTAATAGAAATGAATGACTGAATAAGTAAATAGAAATTTAATGAGGAATGGTATATGTGCATATTTTCTTTTATTCTATTTATTTTTGAGATGGAGGCTCACTCTGTCGCCCAGGGTGGAATGCAATGGCGTGATCTTGGCTCACTGCAATCTCTGCCTTCCGGATTCAAGTGATTCTTGTGCCTCAGCCTCCCGAGTAGCTGGGATTACAGACTCCCACCACCACACCCGGCTAATTTTTGTATTTTTAGTAGAGATGGGGTTTCACCATGTTGGCCAGGCTGGTCTTCAACTCCTGACCTCATGTGATCCACCCGCCTCGGCCTCCCAAAGTGCTGGGATTACAGGTGTGAGCCACCGTGCCCAGCCTATATATACTTTCAAAGCAGCCTTCCGTAAAGTATTTCTTAAATACAATAATGGGGAAAAGAGTAGCTTCACAGTAGTGAAGTCTGGCAGACCACCTTAATCAATGGAAAGAAATGAACCTCAGTAATGGGACAAATCTAGATCTTTGCCACTTGATAGGTTGCATTGAGAAGAATACAGCATCCCTTATATGAAAAATCCATATTGAAGGACATTTTACAAAAGGACTGGCTCTTCTAAGGTATCAAAGTCAACGAATGACTAAAGAACTTCAGGAGACTAATACAACAACCAAATGCTATCCTGAACTTGTTCATTTTGCTATATAAAGATATAAAGGACTTTATAGGAACAACTGGTAAAACTTGAAAGAGCTTGGAGGATGAGGCAATAGTAATATCTGTTAATTTCCAAATGTTAATGGCTGATCTGTGGTTATACAGAATGCTTGTTTGTAGGAAATCAACACTAAAGTATTAGAAGTGATGGGTTATCAAGTCAACAATTCACTTTCAGATGGGTCTGGAAAAAATTATTTGTAATATACTTGCTACTTTTTTGTTTGTTTATTTCAAAGTTAAAATTTTGTTCAATGAGAATTTGAAGATCACAAAATCCGACCAGCTTGATCGAGAAAACTTTAAAAATCAATTGTGCTCTATTTAGGGACATCTTAGACCAAAAATAAAGGTGAAGGCTTTTGGATTAGTAAAGGAAAATAAAATCAACAGAAAAACAGCATTTTACATGCCTATACAAAAAAAGTATTTCACTGACAATACGTCACCACTAAAGTAATACACAGACCAGAGTGTTCGACAAGAAACCGGAGTGGCTTTCTCCTGTAATCCCAGCACGTTGCGAGGCCAGGGTGGGAGGATTGCTTGAGCTCAGGAGTCGGAGACCAGCCTACGCAACATTAGTGAGACTCATTTAAAAAATTACCTGGATGTGGTGGTGCACACTTGTAGTCCCAACAACTTTGAGGGCTGAGGTGGGAAGATTGCTTGAGCCCAGGAAGTCAAGGCTGCAGTGTAACCCTGATCACGCCACTGCACTCCAGCCTGGGTAGAAGAGTGAGACCCTGTCTCAAAAAAAAAAAAAAAAGTGACGAGTGGGGTTGCAAGAAACTACTCCAGAGTGTTCCTTGGTTATGGATACTGAACAAAGTCTTCCCCACCAAATAACTTCTGAATTCAGGACATTTCTAGAGAAATTTGTAAATTTTGAAAGAATGTAAAAGAAGAATTAACAGCTGTACTTCTCTGCTAATGGGTATGAAACACTGGGTTAGGGCAATGGTTGGCAAAACTATAGCTCTCCCAGCAGCCAAACTGGCCTACTGCTTGTGTTTGTGTAGTTCACAAGCTAAGAATGGTTTTTACATTTTTACACAGTTGAAAAAAATCACTAATATTTTGTGACATTTGAAAATTATATAAGATTCAAATTTTAGTGTCCATAAATGGAACTTTAATACATAGCCACACTCATTCATTTATGAAATGTCTATGGCTACTTTCGTGCCACAGTGGTAAAGCTGAATAGGTGCAAACAAATGTCTTACAAAACCCAAAATGCTTACTATCTGGCCCTTTACAGAAAGTTTTCTGATCCCAGGTATAAAAGTTGTGTTAGGTATAAAGGTAAAGATGTAACAGAAAGCATTTGATCTGCAATCTGTTAGGTAAGAAGAAGGATCTCTGTGTGAGAGCAGAAACAGAGAATAAACATGAAAGAAAAGGATATCGAACAAAGAGTTTTCCAGTCTAGGTTGCAGATGCTAAATTCACCTGCATCCTGGCCAGGATTCACTTTAGGATTAGGAAATGTTGCAAACTGATAAAGCAACTCAGATAGTGCTTGGGAAGGTAATTGTTATTGCAATTTAGAAATATGTACTTGAGTAATCAATTTAAACTTGCAATTTTAAGTTGCAACCAATTTTACATACAGTATTGGAAATTTATACTATGTATTGGAAACATACAAGTACACAGTATCAGAACTTTTAAGAATAGTATTTTGGCCAGGCGTGTGGCTCACGCCTGTAACCCCAGCACTTTGGGAGGCCGAGGTGGGCGGATCACCTGAAGTCAGGAGTTCGAGATCAGCCTGGCTAACATGGTGAAACCCCGATTCTACTAAAAACACAAAAAATTAGTCGAGTGTGGTGGCATGCGCCTGTAATCCCAGCTACTTGGGAGGCTGAGTCAGGAAAATCGCTTGAACCCGGGAGGCGGAGGTCGCAGTGAGCCAAGATTGTGCCACTGCACTCCAGCCTGGGCGACAAGAGCGAAAACTGTCTCAAATTGAAAAAAAAAAAAAAAAAGGAAGGAAAGAAGGAAAGAAGGAAAAGAAAGAATAGTATTTTGTTTGCTTTTATTTTGTTTGTATTTTGTGCCCATTGACAAAAGGCAACTTAATATATTAAATGTATAAACATATTTGAAAAGGTT